CCCCCTCGAGAAACACGACGTACACGCCAGCGAGAATGGGCTGGAAATCTATAAGGACCAAAAACTGAATATCCGGAAATCGGCAGAGCGAATTTGCGGAAACCCTGAGATAAATTACTCAGGGCAGCCCCCCGAACACATTGACCGACAAACTTTAATTTTAATTAACTATCTACGCGAACCAACTCAATTCAAATACGAGTGGAATTTCTTACGCGCAAAAGCCCACGTATAACGGGGATGGACGCACTCTGGCAATTAAACGGGAGTAATTATCCCCTTGAATAACCCATCAAAAATAACGAAAACCACCCAATCATGAGTGAAAAAGGGGGGAAAATCGGCACCTCACAATTTGGATTAAGGGTCACAATCACCGTTTTACCGGAATAAAATGCGACGTACGGGGCTGAAGACCCCGTAGTCGAATAACGAAAAGCCGAAATGAATTCGGAAAAATACATATCCGAACTAAAAACTCACGATCTTCCTGTGTTTAGAGGTCCTCTTCCCTTTTCGGACCATCCTGGATAGGTACGCCTCCTCCAAAAGGTATATTAATCCACGTGGCACAATTACGCTGCGTGGGTACACTCAACATTTCGCACGTGACTAACGATCGACGACGGTCAACGCGGAACTAACTGCCCTGGGTCAGTGTCACGGGCACTAACCGCAGCGCGAATTCTGGCCAACAGAGACGGGCTCTGATTGGCGGAGATTTTCGGCACATCAAGCGTTGGCTTTGTTGGCGCCACCAAAGGCTTTTGGGGAATTCAACCGCGACAAATACTCAATTCTAATTTCTTTATACGTAACTTTATAAAATTGACTAATGATTACCTGGGCCGAACTGGTGGGCGTTCGGAAAATTACTAAGGGTTTTTGGCGCCTCCTACGGGTCGGTTCTCCTGGATTCACGGGGTTAAAAGACCGATACTACTAACTAATTCTCCTAATTTTTCAAAACTCTAAGCAACCTGGCAATTCACGGGACAAAAGGGTTGCACTTGTTCCTCGTGACCTTCCACTGAAAATCTAAAACGTAACCATCTAACCACCGTAAAACCCATTATAATTTGGAGCGCCGGCATTTCAGCCGGCCCTAATCGATTTGCCGTAGGATTAACAATAGGGTGGCTCCCATAAGAATTATCGAATGACTCATAACTTGGCCCTTCTTCGCGATAATTCCATGGGCCCTCAAAAACGCGTAATTATGCCGGTCTTGAAATTAAACAGAATACTATGGAATTAAGACACAAATTTAGCCACACCATGGCGTGGAAACCCCCAAACCTCATCGTCGTCACGAGGATTGGACTTCTGACCACCCCGGGGTGGAAAAGTGAAACTCTCTCTCTCTCTCTACCTTTTACTCGCGGGTCGCCTTCCTATGTCACGGGGGGGGTTAATTGTTTTTATGGCAGCATCGTGTCCTAACGAACATCCCCACATGTTCGTTACACACTTTCTAATCCATCCTTAGGCCTGATTTAATGCAATCTTAACTTCGACCTGACCAAAATTTCCTCA